GAGCAGGACATCAATGGCGGGGGGGGGGGACTGGGCTTCCCTCCTGGGAGAGTTGAGACCACTCTCCTCTGCCCTCCCCACCCTTCAACTTTCTGCTCAAGACCTGGCTGCCCTACAGAGGTCCAGGCTGAAAGGTGACATGGAGAGAGAAGGGCTCAGCGTCACACCCACCCAGGCTAGACCAGCAGAGGAACTTCCAGTCAACTACAGAATTGGGAAAATAGGAAATCACCCTGTGAAGCAACCGCGATTTGGGGTGGCTGGTTATGCTGCAAAATCGAACACAGGTCCTCAACATTAGTGAGCCCCGGTGCCGAGCCACCGCTGTGCCCTGGAGAGAGGAGAGCCGGGCAGTCTGTGGCTGCCAGGAGAAGGATCTGGAGCCTGCAGCTCGGGGCTCTGGTCTGGTGTGACAGGGACACTGACCTGGGTTTCTCAGGTGGAACCAGCGCAGTCTCTAAATGGGGCGATTTCTCAGCTCTTTGCTCACGCCCAGGCCACGGAGGCTGCTGAGGCCAGATCCCGGAAATCATCCGTCACGGGGCCAAACTGCCGCAGCTGAATGTTCTGCTGTCCTGGGTTTCCGTGATTGAAATTAATTCAGTTCCTGAAAAAGACGGGGGGTGGGGGGACTGGGCATGTGGGGCAGGGAGACAGCTGTCCACAAAGGCTCCGAGACGTGCCAGCAAGAAGCCCGTGTCAGATACAAGTAAATAAGTTCCAGATTAACAAGGAGCTATGCCAACACGGGCTGAGATCTCCCGGAGGACTTGCTCAGCCCAGAGAGCTCAGAGGTTCTGGTCCACACATCTGGGTGGGGCCCCACAGCGTGCTTTTCCAACAGATCCCTTTATGCCATTAATGCTGCTCTTCAAGTAGGGGCCACGCTTTGAGAACCACTGGCCTGAAATTTAGGTTCCCAATAAATAGAAAGTTATTTTTCTCATCTTAGAGTATGTGATGGAGGAGGTAGTTCAGGCCTCAAAAATGCTATCGGGAGTCCAGAATCATCATCTGTCTTCTTGGACATTCTTAGCTTTTTGGTTTTCATCGTGACGCTTGAGGTCTCATGGTCACAAAATAGTTGCTGTAGCTCCAAACCTCAAGTCTATTCTGAGGGTGAAGGCAGTAGTTAAGAAGCCTCCTGAGGTCTAGCTTCCAAGACCCACATAAACTCACTTCTGCCAGATTCTCTTGGCAAAAGCAAGTCTCAGGCCAGTGTAGATTTGAGGAGATGAAAAAACAGCCCCCATCCCTGAATGGGAGGCTCAGCAGTCACCCTGCAAAGGGGTGGAGATGTTGGGATGGGAGGAATTGGCAGCCATTAAAAATCCTACCACAGCTACCTTTGGGTCCCAAATTATTCACCTTCTTTCCACAGCAAATTCTGTGAAATCTGTCCTCAAGTCTCTGTAATATTCCTCCAACTGCAGCCCAGGTTCAACGTCCAGTCTCACGTCTAGGTCAGGACTGGACATTGATGAGGCGTCCCTTCATCCAAGGACTTGAGAGCTCAGTGACAAGCTGTCTTCACCCTCAGGCTGAGTGCACCATGATGCGGTGACGCGGGAAAGGAAGGCCATCAGGCTGTGACAATCACCGGTCCCTAGCAATTCTGAGATCTCGCCTCCACCCACTGGGCCCCTGCCCTCTGAGATCCGTCTTTTCCATGAGAAATATTGGCAGCTGGTAGCTTTCTTGGTCTGATTCCTGCTTATGGATGCATGGGCCCAGGGGACTCTCCATTCTGAACTGCCCGTCCTTTTGAATGCAAGCTAGTGATTCTCTTACCAATACAATTCCCTCAAACGTGATGGATTTCCCATGAATCACACGTGTAGCCACTGAAATCCACACAATTCCTTGTGAAGACACTTCTCTCTCCATGTTAGTGGGATCCATAAATTCACTTGGTACTTGTTCTATTCTACCAGCTTCTTTGGGTGACAGCCTTGCTAGGTGTCCTGCCACCCCCCCCCCGCCCATGTCACTCATTCCCCAGCCTCCAGGGGCAGTTTCCCCACAATCCACCCAGTCCTCACTGTCTGTTCCTCAGGGCACAGCGTGGCTCCCAGATTTGCTTCTGGCTAAAAAGCAGCCAGGTCCAGGCCCCCATTTCTTGAGCTGTTGTCAACTACAGTCATGCTGCCTTGCCACTTCGTATAAAGTGATTTAGGATTTCTCAAGTGGCTCCTCTGCTGTCCCCTGTGTTCACTGATACAGTGGCTTTCTGTGGATGGGTTGGTGGCCAGTGCTGGCTGTGGGCTGGGGTCCCGGCTGACCTCCACGTGGCCTCTCGTCCTTCCAAGGCTAGCCCGGGCTAGCTCAGGTACCAGAGGGCAGAGACGGAGCTGACAGGAGTGGGCAAGGTACCCCTCCCTTCTGCCAGGTTCTATTGTCGTAAGACCCCGCCTCCGGCTGGGCGGCTCAGCACTGCCACATGGCCGTGCCCAAGCTGGGGTGGTGCCGACAGTCACCCCCAGGACCCTGGGCTTCCCTGACTTTGCTTTGCTCCCCGGATGGCCCTCTGCTTCCTCTGGGAGCTCCTGGTCCGCAGTCCGTTCTGTTTTCCTGTTTGGTGTAAACTGTTGAGTTGCCAAGAACATCATCCTGCCCAGGAGAGCTCAGGTCAATTTGGGGAGGGTCCAGAGATCGTGCAAAGGATCACGTCAGACTGGATCTCCAGGGGCCTGAGCTGGGAAGGACCGGAGACCCTCCCCGACCCCTGAGTGCTTCCCCGGCCTCCGCAGCCGTGGGGCCTCTTCCACGCGTCTCCTTTGTCTCTGGGGATCCACTTACTCTCATGCTGTAGTTTCCTCCCCTCCCTATAATTTTGGTCTCAGACACGCAAGAGAGAGTCTGCGGTCGGAGAGAGGGTGGAAGGAAAAGCTGGCCACATTGATGGCCACGGGGACCCAGTTCTGCAGATCCTACAGAGCCAGGACCGCCCCCACCAACGAGAGACCTTGGGCCTCTAAGTTCTGACCTTTGTGAAGGGGAAGGGGTCTCTGGCCGCAGTGGGCTGGCCACCCACCCCTGGTGCCCCAGCTGCAGATGACAGGGCGGGCACCCCGGGTACCACCGTGGCTTCTCCTCTGGGCTGTGGGGGTGAGGTCCAGGGGCAGCTGGACTTCGGTCGCGACTCACCCCGGGTGCTGTGGCCCAAGACACTCGGGGTGTGGTCCGCCGCCCTCTTTCCCCCAGGCTGCCTCACCACGGCTCCTCATGGTGGGAGGGCCTCCGCCAGCTCGGGACGGGGCCTGCGCCCTGCTCTGTCCCTCATGCATTTGGTGGCCCTGGGCTCATCTTCCCCAGCTGCCCTTCTTTGCCCACAGGGGGGAGGACCTGGCCTTAGAGATGCGGAAACTCGCGGCTGGCCGGGCAGCCGTGGCCATGAGGACACGTGGCGTCGTCCGCCCCGACTGCTCTAACGGCCGTCGCTGGCCTGGGGTTGAGAGGAGAGGGCAGGACCTGCAGGCCTGGGGCTCAGTCATGGCCTGGACAGCGGCCTCCGAGGACCCACGGCTCCCAACGCTGCAGCTGTCCACCAGCCGTGGCCTGGCAGGAGGAGGGGCCGGGCCTTCGCCTGGCTCTGTCTCCCACACAGGGTCCCCACAGCCCCTCGACAGCCCGGCGTCCCTGGGCAGGGGACGGAATACTCCCTGGATCCCGGGGACAGGCGGCTCCGGGAGGTCTGTGACCCTGTCTCAGCCGTCAGTGTCATGGGAGCAGCCTGATGGGAGCACCCTGTGTGCCCACGGGGTCAGGGGGCCACGCGGGGGAGTTCACATCTGTGACTTTGTTCCCAGGGAGCACCTGGCTGAGGTCTGGAAGCTTCCGTGCAGTAGGAGGCAGATGGAGAGGAGCCTCTTGCCTGTGGCTTTGTGTTTGAGTGACCCAGGTAGCAGCTGCTGTCCACCTTGCCTCCAAGGACCAGAGGAGACCCCCTGTACGCCCTTTGCCCCAAACCCTACTGAAGTTCAAAGCCTCCTGCAATTTTTTTAAAAAACTTAACTTTCAATGTGGTGCTGAGGATTGAACCCAGGGGCCCTTTACCACCGAGCACATCCCCAGCCCTTTTCACTTTTAATTCTGAGACAGGGCCTCCCTGAGTTGCTTAGGGCCTAAGTTGCTGAGGTTGGCCTTGAACTCGCGATCCTCCTGCCTCAGCCTCCGCTGGATGATAGGCACTGGACTCCGTGCCTGGCCAAAGCCGCCTGCATGTCTGCTCATCCCCAGCAGGACGAGCGAAAAGGCTGTCACTCCCCTCGGGGACAGCTCCCTGGGCGCTCCCTGCGCTGGGCATCTCTCTCTCAGCCTGGGGAAGTCTGCTCGGTTTTCACACCAGGGACAGGGAGTGTTCCCAAGAAGCTCCTGGGTTCAGCAGCTTCCACTGTCGTCACGGAGAACCCGAGGTGGCCCGGCCACAGCTTCCTCGCGTCCCTCAGCAGGGGCTGAGGGCTGAGGTGGTCCTGAGCTGGGCCCTGGAGCCCGCGCCGCCTTCAGATCCCGGCTTTGCAGCTGCTGGTTCCCAGGCAGGTAGGAGGTGGGAAGCCACCGTCCCTGGAAGTCACTGTTTTGTTCCAGAGGATCTTACATGTGTAAGGGTCCAGCAGAGCGTCAGAGGGAGAGACCACACAAGAGACCAGCCTGATGCAATTGCAGGGGGAAGTTTTATTGAACCAGCATGCTGGGGCTCAAGGCCCACTCAGGAAGGGAGAGCAGCCCAGAGCCCAGAG